CTATTGGTTTTTAAATGAATAAATATATATGTACATTTTCTCAGTGTTAATTCCTAATGTAGGAAATATTTATACATAGTAGTCACATAGACAAAAGCTCTTTTCTTTGGAGTTCTCAATACTTTTAGAGGGTAAATGGGTTTTTAGAACAAAATGTTTAAGAAACTCTGCCCTAAATGAATTAAGTCCGATCTGAAAATAATAATACCATATGATCTGATTGACACTGAAAGCACTTTTCCCAAAATAAATTACAAAGAAAAGTAATGAACTAGAGAGAACTCTAAAGAACACCTTTCCATTCCATCTCCAATTAGCATGAAGTAGAAAGGTAAAATCTCATTTTTAAGTGACCTTACATAAGTTTCATAGCTATCAGTATGAAACAAATTCTATCAGATACTGCAAAATATCAGTACAACTTATGCATAGGTACACACAACTATTTGGTTCCTTAAGTCAAGGGGTTGTTTTTTGTTTGTTTGTTTGTTTGTTTTTTGAGAGAGAGAGAGGTGGGGGAAGGGGCAGAGGGAGAGAGAGAATCTTAGGCAGGCTCTACAACCAGCTCGGAGCCCAACATGGGGCTCGATCTCACAACCCTGAGATCATGACTTGAGCCCAAATCAAGAGTTAGCCTCTTAACCAAATGAGTCATCCAGGTGCCCCTCCTTAAGTCAAGAGCTTCTAATTGACTTTTGAACTGTTATTATCTGTTAACACAACAGGGTCAGTGACTAAGTTCCAAACAGAAAATGTAATGAAAGAATTATCACTAAGTAAAATAAATTATTCTTCTACTTAATAGAATAAAATATGAAGAATCAAGATGTAAACTATGAGTTACTTTGCTCCAAAATGTGTGCATGTGTATTGTTGTGTTGTATCTGTATTGTTCCTGCACAAATTAATTATTTTTATGTGATAAAGTTACCTTAAAATTAAAGTTCACACATGCATACATACACCCAAATACTCATCCTGTTATATATCAGTTTAAGAATCAAAATTGATATCAGAGCCATCTAACTTAAAAAGAATAAGAGTTTCAAAACACCTATGCTACTTGGTTTTCAGTTGCTGGGTTACTAAATGATATTGAAACAATTATGCAAAACACTCAGCTATATAAAAGCTATAATACCTCTTTATCTCATTATCATTTAAATGTTAAATGCTCCATTATAGAGGTAAATTGGGTTTAAAAAAGAATGTTTCAAGCAGAAGAGCAAAAAATATAAGGTTAAACAGCATGAGGAATCAGAGCTTCAATTTGTGGTAGAAAGCTTACTAGGGCATGGATTGATCTTTTGATATACTAAGAAAGCCAGACCCTCTGACATGCCCTATGGAGAGTAAATATACTGATCTGGAACAAAAATTATGTGAAACAGCTGTTAAGTGACAGAAGAAATGTGCATCGGACCACCAGCCTGTCATAAATATTGCACTCTTAATCAGAAAGCATCTGTCTTTTCATTTCCTTTTCAGCAATCTCTGCATTGTATTTAATCTGTGCAGAATGCTTCTTTCTCCTAACAGGTGCAACAATGTTTACAAATTGAAAACCTTATTTAAATGAAACTTACAACTGGAGACATTTCAATTAACAGGGCAATATTTTATGAGAAGCAATAATTCTAGCATTTGGCAAATCCATACATTGCTTTGCATTTGTGAAATTTAATTATTGGAAAATTAGGGCATAGACACCAAGAAAAGCTAAAGATGAAATAAATATGCTTCATGCAATCTTATTCAATATATAAGCCCCCAGGGAAACTATAGGGAAAAGGCCTTGGTGGGAATATGGAACCATGAAATATTGGGGATGGATATTATAAAATGTCATGTTTCACCAAAAATCATTTTAGAATAATACCCCGTATGTCCATTAAAAGTGGCGTCTGTGGCACTAGTTTCTTTTCCTACAGTTTTTTTTTCCCTATTATCATTCACCCGTTGAAACAGACTATAATAGCTCCATAATCAATCTGCCGGACCAAAAAAAAAATGGCAAAAACACTGAAGTTAGCATTATAATCACCCAAATAAAATTTAAATAAATCATCTCTCCCAAAACATGAGTATAATTATAAAATTAGCTCATTTAGAACACATACAATTTATAAAATGAAAAGGACTATAGAATTGTCCACTTTGGCTCTTTTACTGAAAATGAGTGCAGTGATAATGAACCCCATTCCTAAAGGGCCAGGGGGGGAATGCAGGCAATGCAAGTCTGGGGAAACATGTTAGGTTGATTGTTTCATTTCCCAATTTGTGATAGCAACAGGCATTGAAGAAATACTCTTCTTAACTGCACTCTAGGACAAACAACATGGCAGACTCCTTAATAAAAAACATGGCAAGCTGGTGAGTAATGCACAGTTTAGCCAATTGTTCTCATTGGGGAAAAATGTTTCCAAATATCTAATTTTTCCCAAAGCTCAGGGCAAACAGAATGTATCTGTAAATTGGATTTTGCCCTTGGGCTTCCAAGTTGCAACCTTTAGTGTAATAGTTGAGAACATCAGCTTACTGTTAAACAGATCCAAAGCCAACTTCTATCTTGGCTATTTATTGATTTTATGACGTTGGATAAGTTTTGATCTTAAGCTTTATTTCATCCTCGGCAAAAAAGCATTAATAATAATAGCTGACTCAAAATGATAAATAAAAATTTTTAGCACATCGAGTACTCAATAAGTGGTAGATATTTTATAAATTATATGCATAATATATATAATATGTAACTATATATACACATATATTTTTAAATCTAATTGCAAATTCAAGAAAAAGCTCTAATTTCCTCCATGCTTTACTAATTGACATAGGGTAAATATTCTTTATATGATGGATAAAGCCCGTCAATGTTTATAGTTCTTCTCAATGTATACAAATATTTATTATAAGTTAATGCAGAAAGCAAAGGTTATTATCTGTTCTTGGAAGAATTCACCACACAAAATTATCTCACCTCAAGCATTTACATTTTGCAAGGGACAAACACGTTAAAATTTTTTTCCACACTAAAGCATTATAAACGAGGTCATTTGTTATAAAACATAGGGGATTTTCTTTTAATTGCTTTTTTAGAGACAAATATAATAAAAAATAATTTTGCTGATGGGAATTGCACATTTCGGTTATAATTTGAAAAAAACTGCTCAGCTCTTTCAGACTAAGCCAGTTCTAGAGGATAGACTTTAGCCAAAAGAGTTTCACAGTGATAACAGTGTCTTCTTAGAACTTTACTGTGACCTGTTTCCAAATCTTTCTACTGACTAATCAGATCCTCCCGATGATCCTCATTAGATGCCACCTCTTCAGCCTTAGAAGCTTGTTTTCCTTAATAAATAACAAGCTCCTCCTTTCCACTAAGGTGTTCTTGTCAAAAAAGTTTGGAGATTCTTCCACACTAATATGTTGAACCTACAATCAGATAATAATACCTGTGATGATAGCTGTAGTTGATAGAGGCCTTATTATGGGCTCAGTATTAGCTAAATCCCTTCCATGCAGTCTCATTTAATCCTTACCAGGTCTCTAAGAAGTAGATTCCTTAAAAGTATAACAGGTTCCTCATCTGCAAAACAAGTCTGAAAGAGGTCAATTCATTTGTCTCATAAGTATCAGAGTCAAGTATAGACCCATTCTTATGCTATACTACACTGTCTGTCAAATTCTTGGCTTAATATTTAACCATGATGATTTAGACAGGGATGGAATAAAAGATATCATTCAACATGTTAATGTGACAGGAGCTGGATGGGCTGAGGTAGGAGGATGATGAAGAAATATTAAAAGATATTAAGCAGGAAAATTAAAAATGAGTTATTGTCTTAATACATTGGTTTCATTAAACTGTATATAGTGGGCTTGGTAAAAAACTACCCCTACACACGTATCCCATTTTTACACAACAATAGCGTATGAAAATAACAATTAAAAAAACAGGTAAATTGTAATGATAACTTTTCCATTATGTAAGAATGCACCTCATTACAATAGGATTCACCTGGAGTCTCTCCCTCCATGAATTTAAGTCGTTAGTGACCATTAGCTGTTTACAGAGGAACTCAGGGATGAGCACTCAGGAGTGCTGCTGAGAAACAGAAAGTGAAATATCGCTAATGCTCTCAGAAATTAAGATACCCCATACCTGAAGTTGAGCCTATAAAAATGTTTAAACACAACTTTTCAGGAGCACCTATAGTTGAAAAACAAAGCAGGTTTTATTCTATTTTCCAGACATTATTTATATTGTTAATATAATAATTACCTTAATCAGGCTACCCAGCTTTCAAATAGCTCCCAATAAAGCATGCACAACTTGTGAAAGGTAAAATATTCCAACAGGCTTAGATCTGCAGAGAAACAGTTCCCTGTGTCATAATTCTGAGAAAGGTCGAAAGGTTTGAAGTCCAAGAGATAGATGAACACAGACTTAGTTAAGGTAAATCAGGACTGTGATAATCTTCAGGGGAAAAAAAACCCCTATTCTCATAAAAAAAAGTAGTATCTTTTTGGGCAGGCAAACTATTGACAAACTTCGGGCAGCTAACCCACAAGACTCACATTAATATACAGAACGTGAAATGCATTTTCCCTTGGGCAAGGAGAGGAGAATCTATTGTCCATGTCATCTGTTTCTGTGAATACTGAAGATTACAATTATGTTTTGATGTTAATCCAACTACTGCAAATTTCTTGTTGCGAAGCACACTGTGAAAATGTGAGTGACAGTATAAATCTTTTTAAATCGAATTCAACACTACTGAAAAGAGCTGATGTTTTCAAATACTGTTACAAAGCCTCTGAACAACAAGAATAACTCTCTAAATGAAGCAGCCTCCTATAGTGACCTACTTGGTAAGAAAGATAAATAGCCAGGATAAAATCAAATTCTGCATGTCTGCTATATTGTGTGTGTGTGTATGTGTGTGTGTGTGTGTGTGTGTGTGTGTGTGTGGTTTTGCAATTTTAGGAACAATCACCTCTAATGCTTTGATGTCCTCAAAGGCAAACTGCACAGTGGGAACTCCAAGATGGTTGATGAAATAATCCGCATCACCTTGTATCTGTACAGAACTGACGTTGGTTTCTTGGCACTTAGCTCTTCTGGAACAGTTGAAATGATTTTTCTGAAAAACATAATTTAAATTGTTAGCATATACTATGCTTCTTGGGGCACCCCAAAATCAGTGCTACTCGAAATACAGTCCATAGATCAGCTGCATCCATGTCACTCAGGAACCTATTGGAACTATATATGCTTAGGCTACCCCCTTGTCCTCTGGAATGGGAATAGGAACCTTAAGGGATGGAGCCCAGGAACCTATGTTGTGACAATTCCCTATGATTCTGACGTTCACTAAACTGTGACTAGCACTGGACCAAATCAAATTCTGCTTGCTGTTGGTGCTCCAAAAGCATTTTTATCATAGATTTATTATGAACTGAAATGACTCTTTAATTTGAAATATTTTAAAATGATGTTGAGTCCCCAAAAGGCTTAGGTTTTTTTTTTTTTTTTTTTAGTTTTCCAGTAAATTTACAAAGATGGCTTTGTAGGTTATAATTCCGTTCTTCTTAGAATGTTTTTTGAAAACCACAGAAGGAAGTTTCTCCATTTATTCTTTTTTTAAATTTTTTTTAAAGATTTTATTTATTTATATATTTATTTAATTGACGGAGAGAGAGAGACAGTGAGAGAGGGAACACAAGCAGGAGGAGGCTCAGAGGGAGAAGCAGGCTTCCCGCCAAGCAGGGAGCCTGATGTGGGGCTCATCCCAGGACCCTGAGATCATGACCTGAGCTGAAGGCAGTCGCTTAACCAACTGAGCCACCCAGGCGTCCCTCTCCATTTATTCTTAAAAGTATATTCCCTCAAGTCTCAAGTATGAAACTTTAATGGAAAAATCCCAGTCTCGTCAGCTGTAATCATGAGAAAAGTAAGACATTAGCAATGAGAACATTTACATCTCACATCAAGCAGAAAGTATGTATTCAATACATGCTTGTCATTGAATCAAAACACTGACTCTTCAACACCCCCCTATGTTTCTTTGGCATGATATAATTTCAAAAATACTTTTAAATATAACTGATCAAAAGATTTGGAAATGTGTAGTCTAATATTTAGAAAATGAATTGTTGCAACTTTTTTCAACTACAGTGCTAGATTTTTCCAACATATAATAATGTTTCAACATCTATCCAACTTTCTTTGAGGACCTAATAGAAATATCTTTGCAATAAAGTTAAAATCAATTAAAATGGAAAGCCTGTGTGAGCATTTATAAACAAGGCAAGATTTCAGTTTAATGTCACTTATATGTATCTTGAGTAAAGCATAAAAACCTAATTTTTTATAGTGAACCCCACCAATTTGCTTCTTTTGAAAGTCTGATTTTCTGAAAAGCGAGTTAATTCTCTTTCACTTACTGATCTACTCCTGGGGCTAAGATTCCTGAAGGTTTTAAATTGACCTGGGACAGTTTAGGTAGATTTTAAATATTCCCAAAGAAGAGCTACCCTTAAGTACTAGATTATGAAAAGCAAAGAAACCACTTTATAACATGTACAGAATTCCAAGTACTTTTGACAGCTCCAGCTGTTGACAACTGGCACCTTTGAAGGTATTTGTTCAGCCAGACTAGATTTTTTTTCCTAATTGAATTTGAATGCTTTGGTCAAGCAAGACATTCACAGGTGTCCTATCATTGGAGTCTCATACCCAGCCTGCTTCACTCATTCACATTCACTGAACGGTGCCCGGATGCATTTGAATTTGTGAAACCTAGACTGTTACTGTTATACCCTTTTATGTTTTAAATAAGGATTTGATAGAATCTAATCTTTTATCTCCCCAAATGCTTAGCCAACAAAATTAGAAATCATTTTTACAAGTGGTTTATTTTCCCTTTACTTACATGTTTCCCTTTGCTTACATTTGAGACATGTATCCTACTCAACATCAGTGAAAATACATGTTTGGCTTTCATTTCATTTTGTATGTATAATTCTTTTTTTTTAAGATTTTGTTTATTTATTTGACAGAGAGAGACACAGAGAGAGAGGGAATACAAGCAGGGGGAGTGGGAGAGGGAGAAGCAGGCCTCCCGCCAAGCAGGGAGTCCAATGCGGGGCTCGATCCTAGGACCCTGAGATCATGACCTGAGCCGAAGGCAGATGCTTAACGACTGAGACACCAGGCGCCACCTGTATTTATAATTCTTAATATTTACACCAAATACCAGCCATGCTGATATTTCCTTAGAATTCTGTTAGAAAAATTTCCTTAGAAATGTTTTTTCTCTCTGTCCCTGTCACTCCAATTCCTCAGAGTTGCCAGGCTGAGACGTTTCTTTGTGCTTCCTTCTTTGCATGTGTGTGAAGTTGCAAAATTTAGATGTTGGAAATGATGGGTCATCAGAACATCTGTTACTCTTTCATTTCCTGCTCTTCTTTCAGTCAGTGAAGTGAATCGGACCTGCTAGTGGAAGGTGCTATCTGTGTGTTTTATTTCCTCTTTTAATTAAACAATAGGAATACAATCTTCTGAAATATTAAATTTTTTTTCTCAACAGATGATTAGCATGAATTTAAAACCAACAATTCTAAATTACACAATATGTGTCTCTGAAAGAATTAAGTTAAAAAATGTGAAACTTAAATGTAATACATATATTTTTAAGATTTCATTTATTTATTTGAGAGAGAGAGAGTGATCTCGAGAGAGATAGAAGAGAGCATGAGCTGGGGGGGAGGGGCAGAGAGAGAGAGAGAGAAGCAGACTCCCCATTGAGCAGGGAGCCTGACCCTGGGGACTCTGGGCTCAATCCCAGGACCCCGGGGTCATTACCTGAGACAAAGGCAGACACTTAACTGACTGAGCCACTTAAATGTAATATTTGATACTATTTTTATTTAGTCATTATTGCTATATAATAGCTTCCCTTTGTCAAAAAGTGTGTTTCCCATATATGCAAATTGCTAAAAAGACACCAATGAGCCCACTGCAATCAATTCTTGCATTCTCTGTTTGCTCTACAAGTTTCTCAAAGCACAGTTCTTGTTTTGCCTCAGCCTTTCACCAGGCCAGGACATTCTTTTTGAAGCCATTATAGATACCCTAGTCTCTCTGTTCTTGCCATGGCTAATCCCATTGCCTAGCTTTACTATTTTCACCACCTTCCATTTCTGTGATTCCTTCTAGCTACACTTAAATGTTCTCTGTTTTTCGGCCAAATCTAAAGGGCAATATCCAGCCTTCAGAATTACATTCCCTAAAATACTTCCACATTCTTTTCCCTACTGTGGCTTGCTCTATTTCACCCATTTACTAACAAATCTATCTTTTCCCTAAAGGTTTGTATTACCACCTCTGTCAGTCACCTATAAAACCTTCTTTTGTAAACCAACTAAGATGCCAAAAGAATGAGCGTTATTTAGAATTGTTTTTAAATTGTATTTTGATGGTTGAGATCTATTAAACTACATTGATGATGCTAAATATTGACTATGTAGAGAGGGAGCCTAGAGTACAAGAAAGACAACCCAAAATTTGAGGATCAGGGACAACACAATTCCCTGAAGAACCTTCCTAGGATCTCTTCCTTACCTACAAAGCCCAGAGTTTCCCTGAAAAGTTCTGTAGAGGACTTAGCACACCAGCTCATACATTTTTCCTCTCTTTCTTTCTCTGTCTCTCTTTCTCGCCACTTCATCCTCTGCTACCTATTCTCCTGTGATTTAACCAGTGATGAGGGGAGGAAGTGCTGTACCCTCAAGCCTGTGTTTATTTTGTTCCTTGGTGCTTTTCTTCCTAGCTATTTTCAGAGTAAAATAGGATGAAAAAGAACCCAATTTTCGGACTGGAGTTTTTCCCCCAGTCATTTCATCTAGGGATTTCACTTTAGAGGGAACATTCCTGGCATAGAAACCCTATTCTCTAAAACTTTTTATTATTCATTACTTTATAATCTAGTCCAAATTCATAGACCTTAAGTGATCCTAAATCTGTATTCTATCCTAATGTGAAGTGTTTTCCCACACAACACCTCAGTGAATTGTAGTAGATCTATATCAGATAAGAGATAATGACCTACTCAACTCCTGTGAACACTTACATCTGAGAAGGAAATAGAAAGAAATGTTAATTTCCTTCATTTTACTAGAAGTTAGCCACCATGGGAAAGAGAAGGTTGGTAACAAATTTGTGCAGGTCAATTAATCTTTTAAATTTATTTACAAGGCTGAGTAAATTCAAATTAAGTATTTCATCCAAGGGGTTCAAAATGCTCCATACTTAACATTTGATAACAAGCATTTTTATTACAGCTCATAAAATAAGCAAGTTCAGGCAATGACTGTGGTTATGTCACTTGTTTAATTTCCCACCACAAGTCTATTGAAGACCTCAAATGAAATCACCATCTCGATCCTAAAGCTGCATGCTCTTTGCCACTATACTTTCAGGCTGAAAGGCAAAACCTTATCGTAAATGATCACATAAGTGAAATACAAAGAAATTAAGTCAACATTTACCTTAATTGAATAGTGATACCAAGGCACACTGACATTTTAATGTGAAATTTAAATTTTTAAATTAAATTTTAATTTTTTTTAAAGATTTTATTTATTTATTTGAGAGAGAGAGAGAATGAGAGATAGAGACCACGAGAGGGAAGAGGGTCAGAGGGAGAAGCAGACTCCCCGCTGAGCAGGGAGCCCGATGCGGGACTCGATCCTGGGACTCCAGGATCATGACCTGAGCCGAAGGCAGTCGCTCAACCAACTAAGCCACCCAGGCGCCCTAAATTTTAATTTTAATTTTAAATTTCTAAAGTATTTAAAAATCTGTTTAATAATTCAAACATTTTACCTCTCCCACACTCTGCTTTCCCCTGCACACATAAATATTCACTCTATATTTGTAGGAAATCTAAGGTGATTACTTACTCCAACAGCAAGTGTAAGATTCAAAATAAAAGTACCACATTCTATACATTGAAACAAAATTAAATCACTTTCTTTTCATTTCAGTATTATTTTGTAACTTCAGTTGTATGGAAACAATTTATCTCCCTGGTTTTCCTGATTTTCACAATATAGTAATGTTCCAATAGTGATAATGATG